CCCCCTTGATGGGGATTCGCCAACAACGATGTGCCTTGGGGTAGCGTCCCTACGGCAAATGACGTCTTCAGCTCCCTCCAAACTCATTTTCAGCAACTAAAGTGGCACATAAGGCGATCGCTTCACGTATATTTAAGTTTCCATTGAGGTTACCTAGCGGCCAGTCTGATGGTGAAAGCGTTCTGCCCTCAACTTTTTCACCAGAAATTTTGTGCTATACAAATTATCTCTGCCCACATGTAGAGGGCAACAATCTCTTATATTATTAGAGATCATGAGATAAATGGCTCGTAACAGATTGTCGCAACTTATTTCGCAGACGTGAGGCGGAGGTAGTGTAGTGACAAGTCCCTTAGCTCTCCTTGGTTCAAGTCTCGGGTCGACATTCGCCCAGACCTTGTTTCCACCGGGGACGGTAAATTGATGCAAGATTCGTCTGGGAGGACAAAACACTACCACATCGGCTGGCCCCCGCAAGTCATTATAGGCCACATCGCATTCAATAAGCCACTACGATTCTGAATGGAAGTAGAATGCGTGCCGCATCCCACAAAGGATTGATTAACGGCGGAGACTTTATCTTTCTTTGTCTTTTCTTTCGTAGAAGTATTATTGTTACCAAGATGTTGTATTTCAGCGTCAACCCGAAACAGTAGCAGTCGGTCGATGGACTTTGTCGCTGCCGTTTGTGCTCTCTGCAAACCTTCACGAAGGCGATCTTGTCGCTAACTATCCATTTGACGCCACCACTAAGGAAGGTGCCAGTGAATATTCGGCATCTCCAGATGACGGGACATTTAGGTTAGCCACACTCTTTTGATAGCGAAATTATCCGTGCATGACACAGAAAACTTACAGATGATATCGTTGCAATCAGCCGGGGCGTATCCAAGAGCAGTTGACTGGGTCTCCCCCTCTGCATTTTACAACTGGTTGTTTTCTTCCAGAATCGTTCACTAACCGATCACTATTGGTGAGAAAGGCAACCTGAGCCGGGCTCCCTTCCGCCCCCACTGACATCGGCCCCGTCTGACTGCGATGATATCAATTATAGGTGGGCGGTTGCTTCTCGGCCGCAGTAAAGGAATGATGCAATGGAATATTTGGTTAGTCTTGAAGTGAACGGCTTAACAGTTACAAATGTTTGTAGCGCATACGCTCGCGTCCAGTGCTGATGCTCAAGTTGCTGCAAAAGTGGATACATTTCTCGCAGATCACCTGATAAAGTACCAAGAAGGCGTTCTTGGACCAACCTTCTCTCTCTATTATTGCGAGTTCCACTTTTGGGTTATTTGGTTAGAGAACCTTTGGTTGCAATGTGACGTAATGTAAAAGGTGGTCATGTTTGAGAGTAATACCTCGTCAATCACTATTGCCAGAATGCGGAAACAATCAGCTCCTAAGCAGTCATTAAGCACATTGGCTGCACGCGGTAAACTACCTTAACATTGGGGAGCAACCACTTTGTTTCCCACTTAGAAAAAATATCCATAAACACTAGTGGATTTTTGAGCGAAAATATCCATAAACGCTAGTGGATTTTTGAGCGCACCATATTTCGTGCACAAGAGGAACCATGAGCGCAGAGTATATCACCACGCACATCCGCATTATTTACAGGTGGCTCGCCCAGACTTACGCCAAGAATCACGCCCATATGGGGATTAACGATCATCCACCATGCGACGGCACCAGCAAGGACGCGTTCGCCAGACAAGGTGAGAGCATTCATGTGTAGCTGCTTTTTATGAAGCTACATTTTTTCGAAAACGTCCGGCTCCTAGATCGAATCGGTAGTGCTTAGAATCCTGAAACTACCATACCAAGCTTCTCTACCCTATCCTGGAGAAAACCTGCAATTTTACAAAATGCAACTGCAATTCCAATTACACTTTGATTCTGCAATTAGAGCTGATTTAACTATCGCAACTCTGTAAGGAAGACTAGCCTTTTAAAAGGGAAAGGGACGGATGATCTCCCATTCAAAATGGAAAGGGAACGGTTGCACCAGTGAGTAAGGCTCGATAGTCTGTGTGAATGCGCCCATACGATCGTCATTCCATGTATTGTTAAGGCACGTAATTGTTAATACACTAGTTGCGAATTTATTAGACGGTGTGCCCAACACCAACATTCACGAAGAACTTCCAGTAATGCAGCTCAAGAAGGAATGGGATCAAATATAGGACCGCGGTCAATTTCAGTTTTTCGCGGCGGTCTATGATGCATCATTTCCATGCACTTTCAGGGACAGTCTGTGTCCAATTGTGGTCATCCCCTCGAATGTGTGTAGTAAAGATGATAGGAATGAAAAAAATAAAAAATGATAGCTCTGTACCAAGGCTGGGGCGGTGCCTTCGACGAACTCTGTTGGCGCGCGTCGCGACAACAAGAACAGCCTTGTTCACTGCGGATGCTGTGGTTTCGGAATGGGGCCGGATTTGGCGCACTGCCAGCCCCCTTTTCATCAGTTGCTGACGCTTGTAGCGCCCCAACAATTGGTGAAAATCGGGCTAGCTCCCACCAACCCCCCCCCCCCCCCCCCCCCCCCCCCCC